GTAGGGGGCACGGCGGTGGTCCCGGGTGCACGGCTTTTCGCAGAGCAGCACAAGATGCCCTTAGGGAGCGTTAGGGGTGAGGTGCCTGCGCTCTCGGGGCCGAGCCAGGTGACCAACGGAGGTGGAAGGCAGCAAAGCTTTTCCAGACCCGCAGCCAAGTCCAAGAGTGCAGGGACATTGCGGCAGCTGAACCCAGATTTCCTGAGCCAGCTCCCAGTGCCCCGGCCCTGAGGCCTTGGCAACTTGCGTGCTCCAGCAGCAGGTCACGGGAGCACCTTGTCCCATAGTAACTGTACCTCCTCTTCCTGTTTGAAGTGATAAACGAGCTGGATGGCCTGGCCAAGGGCCCGGAGATGGAGCACCGGGCCGCAGGCTATGCCCGCCAAGTGCAGGAGAGAGCCAGGAAGTCCATCGAGTTCCTGGAGGAGCGATTCGAGAGCCGGGACAACTGCTTGAGGGCTCTGACCAGCCGAGGCAACGAGCTGGAGTCCATCTCCTTCCGCAGCGAAGACACCACCGGCCAGCAGGTAAGGGACATCCCAGCCCCAGGAGGATGGGACGCAGAGGTAGTGATGCCAAGTGCTGGAGGCTCTTCTCCACTGCCTCCTTGGGGGAAACCAGGGACCCTGGGGTTCACGAGCCCTGGGCAGGGGGTAGCTCTGTCCCCACCTTTGCAGGCGGCTGAGCAGGCTCCTGCGAGCTGCATGTGTTTTGGCTCCAAGCAGGCCTGCCTGCTCTCTGCTGAGCTGTGGCAGTGTCTCAAGGACAGTGCAGAAATCAGGGTGGTGAGGTTGCAGGTTTTTTCCTGCCAGGGGTAACATTGCCCTTTTCTTCCAGGGAAACAACGATGACCTGATTCTGTCCTGCTGCCTCCACTATTGCAACGACAAGGCCAAGGATTTCATGCCCTCCAACAAAGGTAAAAGAACATCCTTACGTCGTCCTTGTCACTTCTCTGTTGCATCCCGCGGACCCTTCTCATTTCTCTTTCACGGCCCTTGGAGCCGATCTCTCCCGCATTTTGCCTCTTTCAACACCAAGGTGCCACCTCCTGCCTCCGGTCAGCCCCAGGCTGTGGCCCTCTCACCGCATTGCCAAATGCGCACCTCACTGCGCTGGGGATGCCCCAGCCTGTGAGAAGCCCACCGTAAATGTCCACGAAGCAATTTCACGGTGCCAGCAGCAGTGATGAGGGGCCAGAACGAGCCTCCTCCCCACAAGCCCCGGTGCCTCCTGACCAGGGCCCTTTTCCCTCCTGATGCCCAGTTGGCATCGGCCACATGTGCTGGGACCAGACAGCCCCCGGGCTGTTGCCAGGGCAGTGGGGATGGGAATCGCATCAGCAGCTGCCCAAGAAATCAACCCGCATTTGTCAGCGCGAATTCTTAGCAGCTTAACTTGTCAGATTCACAGAGAAACCGTCACCAAATGTTTATGTGCAAATGATGCTGAATTTTGAAATCATGTGGATTATGGGGAATGGGGCCTGACAAGCTGACAGCCTCTGGTTTGTAACAAGGAGGCGCGTCACCAGCGCGGAGCAGAGGATGTTTATTGTTACACATTTCTTAAAGTGTCCGCACAAAACCTCCTGATCCCACTTTCGGCAGTCTTCGGCCCTAGGCCTGCCTTCCCACCGAGCCCCTGCTCCTCTTCCTCCTGGCACAGGCCGGCTGGGGTGCTCTCCCCGACACCCTCAGCCCTGACACCGTGACCATAGCCCACGTTCCTGGCCACCCTCCCTTTCCCCTCGTCCTGCCGCTCCCTGCGCCGCCAATCTGGGCCCATGTTGGGCTCCCATAAACTCTGTTTTTTCCATTCCCGTCCTGGCTCGGAGGCACTGTGTTTCCTGTGCTCGTAGGAACAGTACTCTGGTCACAGGACCCAGCTGCTTACACATACCCCATATGCTTCCCCTGCTTCGCACACACGTAAGCGTGGCTCCCACATCCCAGCCCGGCGCATTGCGTGCGGGGCAGATCATCCATCTGGGGGCAAGATCCCTTTGGTTATTTCTCAGGCTTCAACTCTCTCTGGCTGTCTGAGCCCCAGCCAGAAACGCCTCGGTGTCAGTGGCGACTCCAAAAAGCTTCGCAAAAAATAAAGGGTGGTTTTAGATCTTATAATGAGATCACCAGAATAATAGCACCAGCTTCCTGCTGGAGCCAGGGTCGCGGGCTGTCTTCCTGGCCTGGGTCAGGCAGAGGAACCTCCTCTTCCCTGCCTGCGGCGCGGTGCACCACCCCATGCGGGCAACGGGCAGCGTGGGACCCTGGCGCTGCTCACCGGCCCTCCCGGCCCCGGGGCTGCGAGCAGAGATCACAAATCATCCCCCAGCCAGAGGTGGGGGGAGAAGGCGGCCTTCGAGATGAAATGTTGTCTCTGAGCCACGCCGGGAAGCCTTGGCAGGGAGCGGGGTGCTGGGAGCGGTGCCGGGTGGCCCTGCCATGCCTTGGGGCGCAGCACCCGAGGAGGGTAGGGGGGACAGCGTGGTGTGGGATGGGTAAAAGGGCTGGGGCAGAGTGGGATGGTCTGAGCTTCATGCCACTCTCTCTCTCTCTCTCTCTCTCGTTGCAGACGATCCCATCCATTTGCTCAGGGAAGTGGTTTTGCTGACGGACGACCGGAACCTGCGAGTCAAAGCGTTGACCCGCAACGTGCCGGTGCGGGACATCCCCACCTTCCTCAAGTGGGCCCAGGAGGGCTGAGGGAGCCGAGTGGGGCCGACAGCCCCTGAGCGAGTCACGCAGCCTGTTACAGTGGGAGGCCGGCTTTACCGGGCCGGGCCGCCGACGTTTTTTGCCCCGGAGCGAGTCACGCGGCCTGTGACAGGGGGAGACCGGCTTCAGCGGCAGCCCTCGCCACGCGCCGCCACCGCCTTCCAGCCCACCACGAACAATAAACGCCACGTCTTCAACCCACCCCAGAATGGCCATGCTGTGAAGGGCCCCCCCCCGAGGGCAGACCAGCTGGGAAGGTCATTGCTGTGGATGGTTCACGTGGAGGCTGCGCCGTTGAGGGTCCCATCAGCCTTCGGGCGGTGCCAGAGCGGAGCTGGTGAGCCCCGCTG